GTCCAAGATTAACCTTCAGGGTGGATATAGCTCGCTAGCAGCCTCGCACCGAGGACCTATCCACGTCATCATTTACCCAGAATGCTTTGTGTGSAAATAAAATGGCTCCGTCCTTGTTAAAACATATTTAAAAAAATCACAAACTAAACAGCCTACAGTGTTTTACAGTCTTTATTTTACAGTTAAAACGTATGTTTATAATGTTACAGCTAATCAGGGATCCCTTTATAAAGATGCTTTGCACCAGATTTAGTTTAAGCTCATTTCCATCTGTAGTCCCTGACTTCATCCTCATTTYGATGTGATATAAATATATTTACATGAACAGCAGAACCTGACAGATATTAAATATTAATCAGAGTCATGAGGGTCCAAAGAGCAGCAGCTTTAATATTAGATAGTTCAGTGTGTGCAGGAGGATTCCTCTGCAGTGTCCTGACAGAACCAGTCCTGACCCAGTAACAGAACTGGTCCATCAGTGCAGGAGGGTTCTGAGGTCCTCGTGGATCACCGCCTCGTCCCAGGGCCCCTGGATGTTGTCCTTGTGTCTCTGCAGCCACAGCAGCAGCAGGGGGCACAGCAGCGTAACGCTAACTAACGCCAGGGACAGGAGCACGGCTCCGCCCACAGACCTCGACGCCAGCCCCCCCACCCCTCCCACGCACACGCACACACACACGGCGGTGAAGTGGCGCGGGGCGCCGTCCCTGAGCCGGCGCAGCAGGCAGGGCCACAGGGCGAACACCAGCAGAGCACAGGTGAGCATGGCACAGGTGTGCAGAGCGCCCGGCAGCCTGGAGGCCAGGCACACAGAGGAGAACAGGGCTGCGTTCAGAGACAGACTCCCCCGAGGAGAGGGCTGAGCGTAGGGGAAGGACACCAGGTGGGCCAGCAGCATGACGGCAGACATGGCGTGCACCGTGTCCGTGCTCACAGACTCCGTTAAGGTCTTCAGGACCGGAGAGAAGCCAAAGGTGAAGGACAGGAAGAGCGCAGCGCTCTGCAGGTCGGCCAGGTGTGTGCGGCTCTCGCTGCAGGACTCAGYCTGACACGGCAGCACCTGGTACAGTCCATAACCCAGCAGGGCACACACCAGGCTGGTCCACAGCAGGGTGTCCGGACTCAGCAGGTCCTGTGAGGACAACACAGACCTTTATTGTCCCGTTAAACACAGGAGACACAGACACCCGCTTCAGAGGTTATCAGTCCATGAAATGGACGTTTTTAGGTGTTATCAGTCCATGAAATGGATGTTATTAGGCGTTATCAGTCCCATAGAATGGCTTCAGAAGGTCCCACCTGTGCTGGTTAGCAGGTTCCCCGTCCATAGAATGGCTTCTGATTGTCAGCTGGTTAATATGAGGCATAAAACCACCAAGGTTAACCTTAGAGCAGATGACATGGTTAGCATTAACCTCTGACAAAGGTATATTGTGGTCTCTCAATAGCGTAATGGGTAGAGTGGGAGACCAGGGTTTGACTCCAACACAGACACAAAACAATTTATTACAATATGTTTTGGTTATTTACACATTGTCATTTATATATTAACCCACTAGAGGGCACTGTTGGGACAGTCTGAAGCCTAGAAGGCACAGTAGGGACCCTCTGAAGCCATTGTATGGGACCGATAACGTCAGAACCCCCCTGGCACAGATCCAGTCATACCTGCTTCATGTAGAGCCACAGAGTGATGAACACTGACACACAGGACAGCTGCTGGCCCACAAAGCCTGCTTCCTTCACCACGGACCAGTACCGGTACTGTCGGATCCCCTCGTTCCTCCGCAGCTCCTCCAGGAACCTCTGGTCCACGTAGTTATCAGGAAAGGGCTGGTGCTCCCACAGAACCTTCCTCCAGGGCTGGGCCTGACCGGGGACTCCATCTGCACCCATCCTCTACACACAGACACACACAGACACACACACACAGACACACACACAGACACACACACACAGACACACACACACACACACACACACACACACACCTTTATAAACACCTGACAGTGGGGACGACTGTGTGCGACTTCTTTAAAAACAGTAATCTTGTTCAGAACTCACTGGTTGTAGGGTTGGACAATATTGGTAAAAAAAATTAATCACGATTAATTGTGGTATTTAGCCGATAACGATTAATTTGATGATTAATACCCTGGACACCCTTATGTCCTGGTCACATGACCAATTTAGTGGGAATGATTTGCTCTTTGTAAAAAATGTTCCAAATTGTGTTAAAATTACAGATGTCATGGTATACATCATATTTTAAATTGTGTAGATAGATAAATAAATTACAGAACTTTATTTTTAATGTTCGTCATGTTTGAATCAGAGAGGAGCAGCGAACTGACCAGAGTAACCCCCAGTCTGCCTGTCTGCCTGGTGTTAATCATATTAATCATCAAGTGGCAAAAAGTAATCAATTAATGTTTTTCTGATGATTAATTGCACATGATACAATTATAACCAACCCTGCTGGTCGTACAGTTTAATCTCAGGGTTCCTACAGATCCTTAAAAAGTCTTAAAAGTCATTGAATTCATCGATCCAAAATTAAGGCCTTAATTAGCTTCAAAATGTCTTAAATCAATCTTCAGAAGTCTTAAAAATGTTAACACATTGTAAGCAGGATGATTTTAATTTGTATCAAATATTAAAATAATTGGTAAAAATATTGTTTTTTAAATATTCACATGCAGACGTTCCTCTATGACATCACTTCCTGTTATTTCACCTGTAAATATCTCAACAACTGTTCATCTGAGCAAAGTGACATTTGTTTTGTAATATGTTAATAATGTTGTTTTTCCAAAAATACGTTCATATATCTTACAAACATTTGATGTCASATGCACTTTAAGGTTTCATCTACAGCAAGTTGTGGTTCAGACCCCACTGTGGGTCCTGAAACTACAGATTTTGAGTTGTTAGAGGATTTCCTGAAATTTAATTTAGTTTAAAACTGACTGCTATGATTGTTTCTGCTATAGTCAGATCTGGATAAAACTATTGATCTGTTAGCAATATTTTAATACTTCAACCAAAAATACTTTGATTCATGAGTTTCTGACAGTTTTATTTTTTGTCATTTGTGTTTATTATGAAATTAATCTTAAATTTAATTTCACTTGGCATTAAAAAGTCTGAAATGTAACTTTCTTTAATCTGTAGGAGCCCTGAGTATACAGTATACTACAGTACACTCTTCCATGTGGTAAAAATACTCAGTTCGGTATTTTCTGTTGGTTTTTTGAATCAAGTGAAAATGATTTGTTCCTGTCAGAGCACCATGTGTCAGCATGATCATTAAATGAACACAAACTAAAAATAAYCTGTAAAATAACTCTATATTTGTGTAAAGAACCTCCTGATTATCACATCAACTCTTTTTATTCAGGAAAATGTCCATARTTTCCAACAGAAACAAGCAGTTTTTGTTTTGGGACATGAAGCAGTGAAAATTTGTTTTTAACAGGATCTCAGTAAACATCCAGCTGTTCTGACCTCTGACACATTTATCTTCTCTGTAACTGTTGTTGTTGTTTATTAACACAAACAATCAATAAACATAGCTGTAACATGATGGAGAGCACAGATTGAGGCATATTTAATCCTCAGTTACTGACAGGGATTTACTGTCTCACATGTCAGCTTGTGTAAAATACAGGAAATGAACCGTAAATATTATTTATTTGCATTAACTGAACCCAACCTTGTTACAGAGACTTATCTTCACCACTAAAGATAATTTCTGAATAATACTCTAAAAGTTTAAACAGTTAAAATCATCCTAATGAAGGAATGTTTTTACTCCTTATTTACATGTAAATGAACCAGACCTGTTCTTCCGGTCCAAATATAAAGAAGACATTCTCCATTAAACACAACAAAATGTACAATAATATCTGAATAATTATCTGAATGATACTTTAGAAACGTTACTGACTTACTTCAACAACAGTTTTGATGTTASAGCAACGAGCCGTCACCTCACAGACCCGGAAGTGAACAGAGTCACCGAGCTGAGAGCTCACAGCGCCCCCTGCTGCTCAGTGTGTGCGCGACAACTGAGTGACGTCACTATACAGGAACAGTGCAAGTTTTATTATTATTACTTAAAGTTTATATTTTAAAATTGATATTTACGGTTACATTATATTCAGGCATTACACAAGCATCCTAAAACTGGTTCTATTTTTTTTATTAAACAACAGGAACAGCACAAGTTGGATATGTACCTACCAATTAATTTAAAAAATATATTTAAAATATCTTGTTTGTTTGTTTGTTTGTTTGTTTGTTTGTTTGTTTGTTTGTTTTTATACAAAGACTCCAAGTAATAAAGTTTTTCTTGTAAACTTAATTCTATTATAAGCTAAATTTCATATCCACAGTTGTAATTTTTATAAACTTAAACCCCAAATTCACAGGTTTTTATGCAAATTTATCCTCTTGCCACCTCAAAATACTGTAGCAATGCAAAAGCTTTAAAAACTAAATCAATTTGTAATGAATTTCAATTGTAACCAGCCCATGTTTTTATATTTATTTATTTTATATTCTCCATGTTTCATGCCTATCTGAAGCCTCGACATGTGTTTTCTTTGTGTTGTTGCATGCATCTCTTATAAACACATAAAGACTGAAAAAAATTAGTGGATGAAAAAGCATAAATTCACGTTGTGCACTCTTGTTGTGCACACACGTTTTATTGGCTGGATGACTTTTAACATTTAGGCTTTTTAAAATATTTGTTTGATTGGACAAACAGACCCCAAACACACCCACTAAACTATTTGAACTTTTTTCAAATCAAGCTGAACACAGTGATCGATGGTAACGACATGTTCGTGTGTACGAATGGAACTACAAGTAAATCTCACATTTTATGTTTACTGCATAAAACTAATTGTGATTGATTTTGTTTTGTTTGTAGGTTTATGTTGTAAATCCTGTTTTTATGTTTTTAAGATGCATTAAAAGCATTTAAGAGGTTGTGTAACACATTTAAAAATGTATATATA